TGGAATCTCTCTCTCTCTCTCTCTCTCTCTCTCTCTCTCTCTGTCTCTGTCTCTCTGTCTCTCTCTTTCAAATAATAAGTCTTTTAAAAAGTAATAATGAACCAATTATGTAATTACGTAACACAGTTTTGTGAAAGCTAATCTAATTTCGTGAAAAGAATGGAATTGTTTATATTTTTGCAAATCTCTAATATCTGGCATAACAGAAGATTAGCTGTATTTTTTTTTTTTGGTATCCAGAATTTGGCTTTATTTTGCAGTACAGAAATCATTTGGAGCCATTTCAGACAGACTCAAGTAGAGGCTCTGTCAAATCAATACTGCATTGCAGCTTGGTCCACTGGAGAAGCCACACCTGTGATATAAAAGATACTTCTACATTTTACCTGCTTTATGACTGATTCCTTTCCCCTTGGTCTCACCAATTTCATTAGTTAAAACACCACAAAGTGGCTTCCTCCAAATGACTCCCTATCTCTGGAGTTTGGTTAGAATTTTATGCCCACATAAACCAAATCTGTGGCTATACTGTTTGGGACCTGCCATAATATGTGATAAAACACAAAACAAAATTAGAGGGACAACTTGGGGGTGCTGTTTCAAATTATGGAATATTCAGTGTAGGATCTCAGTGTCATAAGGACAGATGGCACAGACATACAGATACAGTTCTTGAGCAGCAGAGGCACAACTGCCAAGACTATGCTGATTAAAAGATAAAAATACTGTATCAAGTTCTCTGTATCAGTATCACAATGTTTGTTTAAAACTGATCCTTCGCAGGGTGTTGGGTAGTTTGGTTGAATTGGAACAGAATGTGGTAACCTGCCAATTCTGAATAGCCACTCCAAGAACAGAAGTTAATACATGATATTAGAAAGATGAAGGGGGAGGAATATTTACTGGTATAGTGCTCTTCAATCCCTCCATTTTGATTACAAAATCAGGCCTTACAATACTGGTTTCATACAATATGCATTATTTGCCAAATTTTAAATTTGTCCCAATTTAATAACATGTACTATTGTTAGTCTTCCCCATAGATGTCATTTTTCTTGCACTTCATTTCCTCAAAGTCAAACTCTGATCCTGTCATCCTCTCATAGATGTCTTTGCTGTCATCACAAGTTGTCTCAAAGTGAGTCGTAGCATCACATGTGCGGGAAATAAAGATCTGGCTTTCTTTTCCCAAATCTTTTGGTACAAGGAGGTCACTGATGCTAACAAATTTCTGTTCAATTGGTTCCAACAGCTCCAAAGCTGGTCTGATTTCTTTCTCAGGTTCCTTGGTTTCCACAGTTGTACTGACTATGGCAATGTACTTCCCTTGTGCTGCCACATTGTGTACAGAGGAAATCATGCAAACATAGATATCTGACTTTCGATTGACTTGGTTTTGTGGAATAATGATCTGGCAGGAGTTGGCATTGTTGGTATTCTTGATGGGATGGCTAAGAATGTAGATAACTCTTATCACCTGGCCCACTTTCTCCACCCGATCTTTTACATAGCTGGGGTCACAGATGAGCTGCTTACAGCGAGCAATCTCTCCTTCAGATTTTACACCAACCACCTTCCCATTCTGCACAATGATTTCTTTAATAGGTTTGTTCAGCATGTCGGTACCACCATAAATAGCACTTAGCCTTGCAAATCCTTGTGGGAGTTCTCCAAGGCCATAGAGTGGATAAAGGTATGGGCTTTTGCCATATCACGCCAGAGACTCACTGTAAAGTTTAATTCTATTAATGGTTTCACAACATGGTTGATCTAAGTAGTCATCAGTTCTGTAGAGTGCAAGAGCATGACCTGTAAAATCGATAACATCTTGACCCAAATCAAATTTCTTATACACATCTTGCATTGCAGTCTTCTTGGGATCAACACCTTCAAAAGTTCTAGCATTGTTTTCATCAAAATTGGCAACATACACCAGGAATTTTCTAAAGCAATGTTTTTCAAATAGTCCCATTGAGCTAGATGCAAGGGCTTCTGCTTCAGTGGAAGCAACCTCGTAGATTTTCCCTCCTTTATGGACAAAGCTTCCTTCTGTCATTTTGAAATCCAGATAACGAGTGACTTCTGTATAAAGCAGCATCTTAACCAGCTGACCATTAGCCATAAGGAACTTGGGAATTAAGTCAACATTCCAGTCTCTTCCTCTCCCCATTGATGATGGTGATGATCCTGGTATTTTAAATCTTTTGTATAAATCTTCCAGAGGTGTTATAGATGCACTTTCTCCTCCATAGTATGGGTTTTGATTCATGTGAAGAACTTTCTTTCCATTCACTGACATGATACTTGACGATACATTCCGTCAGGCCGGTGCCCAGCACGATCACGTCGTACTCCTCATTTATGGCGGGGTAGGGCGAGGCGGACGACTTGAGAAAGGAGAAAAGCTAAAAGACCTTGCGGCCACTCTAAGGAGGCGGAGAGGAGCTCAGACCGCTCTCAGGTTAAGGGAAAAGGGAAGGCGGGAGGCTAGAAAAAAAAATGGAGCTGACGAGGAGGCAAACCCAGCCGCCACCTCAAATGGGAAGAGAAGAGCGGGCAAGGGACGGGGAGAGGGTGCAGAGGGCAGCGACCTCCAAGATGAGCTGTATTATCACATCATTTATTTTGCATTCAATCTGTTGCAGTATGTGTTTTTGTTTGAGATACAAGAAGAAAATCCAGTCTTATTTAGATTTGTAATTGAGAAGTTTAATAGCTTTTCCAGGTAATTAGGAACAGTTTTCTTTGATATTACACCCAAATTCAACAAGTAGTAGTTTTTTAGAGGTTAGTTGCAATATTGCATTCAAAACTATAGTGATCAACTTTTCATACTCTGTTTCCTTAACATCCATCAATTTACCTGGCATTTCTGAATGGATATTTTTAATCATAAATGAGTTTTTAACATCATGCATTTATTATTTGGAACATTTTAATTCATTGAGTTATAGATATCTTTGAAATGTTGACATATTTTTATACAAATAAAAAACATTAATATTACTAGAAATACTCATATTACTAACATTGCTAATTAATTAATGATCCTTTATGGGTGGAAAATGTCATGATTTTGGTTGGAGATAAAGGTTTTTTTTTTTAAACTTTTATTTAATGAATATAAATTTCCAAAGTACAGCTTATGGATTACAATGGCTTCCCCCTCATAACGTCCCTCCCACCCGCAACCCTCCCCTTTCCTACTCCCTCTCCCCTTCCATTCACATCAAGATTCATTTTCGATTCTCTTTATATACAGAAGATCAGTTTAGCATACATTAAGTAAAGATTTCAACAGTTTGCTCCCACACAGAAACATAAAGTGAAAAATACTGTTTGAGTACTAGTTATAGCATTAAATCTCAATGTACAGCACACTAAGGACAAGTTCTAATTTTTCACTTGAATGTTTGAAATTTTATCATTGGTAACCAATAGTGTCAGTTGATTTCCTTGAAGTGACAGGATTATTTCATTAATTTCTGAAGAACATATCAAGAAATACTCACATATGAAAACTATAATTTGTCAGTTCTTTAAAATTAAAATAGTGTTCTCTGAGAAAAAGTTCAGTTTGCAACTCAAACCACACAAGTGTTTTTTCCTTGAGATAATCAGTCTACTTCAGTTTGTGTTAGAAGTGCTTTATACAGATTTTGCATTTTGTCATACAGAATATTAAAAAGACACATACTCCCTAGATCAAGACTTACTAAAATTCTTCAAGTTAATTCTTCAAGAACATTTTAAAGTGAAACTGGCTCCTTTTGTTGTGCGTTTACTGTGAATGCATGGGAGTGAAGAATATAATTATTAGTAATAAAGAGTGTGGTTGCCTTGATGCATACCAAGCCACCAGTAATTTTATCCTCCATTGTTTTTGTGATATTAAAGCAAATGTCAGCACAGGATTATACTAATAATTACTATAAAAATCTTTTTGAATTCAGGGAACTCCCTAAAAACCCCAGGTGTCTGCAGATTGCTGTTTGAGAACTTTTGAACTACAGATGCTCTTAAAAATGCTGTTTTTTTTCCCTAACGTGAGAGCATACTTCCAGAAATTCCAATTGAAATTTATGAAAGGGTCCAGTAATGTTTATTTTTAGCTAGTACCCCAAGAGATTTTTGAGAAATGTGGCCTATGGAACACATTAGCAAAATGCAGCATAATATGAGAGATACCTTCACTTTCACTACTGTAATGTGAAAATGAAATATACATTTGCCTAAAACAACAAATTAACTTAATTAGCAAACGTTACTGTTTCATTGATTTATTTTTTGTCTGTTCTATCCAAAGGATAAATTGATAAACCTTTCTTTTTGTACACTCATTTCTTATCTCCTATCTTCCATTTCCATCTCCTTAATTATTTTTTATTTTCTTTATTTTGAACCCATTTAGACCATGTCTCTGCCTGCTACGTTGCGAAAGCCAAAATTGGTCAGACATGCCATCCTCTAAGTTTCTGACAATGTTAAGGTGTCCCTGTAGTGTTTCCCCATAGTTAAATAATCATGCTATTTGTCCCGTTAGCTTTCTGTTCTCAACTAAAGCATTTTAGCCCCATATTTGCCTCTGGAATTATTTTTTTCTTGCTTTTATTATTATTATTATTTTTACCCAGAACTGTTTTATTTAAGGTATACAAACTTCATGCATTTCATAAATACATCTTTAGGAACATAGTGGTTCTTCCCACTGTACCTGCCCTCCCAGCTGATGATTACCAGGTTTGGTAAAGTCAGAGTATAAATTAATCTCATTTGGCATATCTGAGTTGAATACCCTGGATTCCTTTCCTTGGGGAATGATACATTGGGTATGTTAGACAAAGCAAATAAAAAATATTAAACATGAGTAGTAGAGAAAATAGGAAAAGAAGTTTGAGAGTGAGTACAAGCATCCCTTATGTATTCTCACTTTCCCAACAATCGGATCTTAGTAACTAGGACACAGTCGCTTTGACACCTCTCTCTCTCCCTCTGTCTCCAGATATCCTGCAGTTTGGCTGCCTGGCTTCAAGCCCCGCTGAGGAATTCTTGATGCCTCATTGTCATGTCTTACTAAAATGTACACGAAACTTGCAGAGCATAAACTTTCAGGCTTAAAATCTTCCCAGGTGAGAAAAGACTGCATTGGTTTTATTTGCATTTCTTGTTGACCTGTTCACCTTATCCTTTAGGCCATATGCTTCAATTTTGAGGGCTCAGGTTTTATCACTTCCCAGACAATTATAGATTACTATTGGTTTCCAAGACAGCTGGGTAGTGCTAAGCAAAATTTTCTGCCCTAAATGCTCACATAGCAGTATGACACTTCAGTGAAACAGACTTCCTTTATGTTTTAAAGTTATTTATTTATTTATCTAATTATTTATTTATTTTTAAAGGAATACAAATTTCATAAGTGCAGTTTTAGAAATAGTTATTCTTCATACCATACCCGCCCTCTCATCCATACTCCCGCCCCTCCACCTCCTCTCTCTTTCCCAGTCCCATTCTCCGTTAAGATTCATTTTCAATTAACCTTATACACAGAAGACCAACACTATACTAAGTAAAGATTTCAAAAATTTGCACACATATGCATATACACAAAAAACCCAAGAACTTGTTTTACAGTAAATCTCATAATACAACTCATTGAAGACAGAGATCCTGCACGGCAAGTTAGTGCACAGTGACTCCTGTTGTTAATTTAACAATTAGCACTCTTATGTGTGATGTCATTGACCACCGAAAGCTCTTGACATGAATTGCCTGCACTATAGAAGACTTTTGAATCTACAAACTCCATCAGTATTTAGACAAGGCCATAAGCAAAGTGGAAGTTCTCTCCTCCCTTCAGAATTGAACTTCAATAAACATGGGGGTACAGATAACTCTTTTGTTTACTGATTTCATTTCCTTTGGGGAAATTCCCAGGAGTGGGATGGCTAGGTCATATGGTAGGTCTATTTTCAGATTTTTGAGGTATTTCCATACTGTCTTTCATAGTGGCTGTGCCAGTTTACATCCCCACCAACAGTGGATTAGGGTAGTTTTTCCAAGCATTCTCACCAGCATTATTTGTTTGTTGATTTTTGTATGAAAGCCATTCTAGCTGGAGTGAGGTGAAATCTCATTGTGGTTTAGATTTGCATTTACCTGATGGCTAGTGATCCTGAACATTTTTTCATGTGTCTGCTGGACATTTGGATTTCCTCTTTTGAAAACTGTCTAAGTCCTTGGCCCATCTCTTAACTGGGATGTTTGTTTTGTTGTTGTGGAGTTTATTATTATTTTTTGCCAGGCAAAGTTAGACAGTGAGAGAGCAAGACAGAGAGAGAGTTGTAGACATAGAGAGAGACACAGAGAAAGATCTTCCTTCTGTTGGTTTACTCCCCTAATGGCCACCATGGCTGGTGCTGTACCGATCCGAAATCAGGAGCTGGGTACTTCATCCTGGTCTCCCATGTGGGTGCAGGGACCCAAGCACTTGGGCCATCCTCTGTTGCCCTCCCGGGCCACACCAGGGAGCTGGACTGGAAGAGGAGAAACCAGGACTAGTACCCACCGCCCCATCCGGGACTAGAACCTGGGGTGCCAGCACTGCAGGGGGAGGATTAGCCAAGTGAGCCACGGCGCCAGCTGTGGAATTTCTTAATCTCTTTGTATATTCTGGTTATTAATCCTTTATCAGTTGCATAGTTTGAAAATAATTTCTCCCATTCTGTTGGTTGCCTCTTCACTTTGCTGACTGTTTCTTTGGCAGTACAGAAACTTCTTAATTTGTTGTAATCCCATTTGTTAATTTTGGCTTTTATTTCCTGTGCCTCTGCGTTCTTTTCCAGGAACTCTTTGCCTGTGCCAATGTCTTGCAGGCTTTCCCCAATGTTCTCTAATAATTTGATGGTGTCAGGTCATAGGCTTAGATCTTTAATCCATGTTGAGTGGATTTTTGTGTAATGTGTAAGGTAGGGGTCTTGCTTCACACTTTTGCATGTAGAAATCCAGTTTTCCCAGCACCATTTGCTAAAGAGACTGCCCTTGCTCCAGGGATTGGTTTTAGATCCTTGGTCAAATATAAGTTGATTTTGTTGAGGAATGTTCCTTCTATACTCAGTTTGCTTAAAGTTTTCATGATGAAAGAGCGTTGTATTTCATCAAATGCTTTCTATTCACCTGTCTAGATATTCATATGGTTTTTCAGTTCGTTAATGTGATGTATCACATTGATTGATTTGTGAATGTTGAACCATCTTTGCATACCAGGGATAATCTTACTTGGTCTGTGTGGATGGTCTTTCTGATGTGTTGTTGGATTTGATTGGCTATAATTTTGTTGAGGATTTTCGCATCTATGTTCATCAGGGATATTAGTCTGTAGTTCTCTTTATTGCATCTTTTTCAGATTTAGGAATTAAGGTGATGCTGGCTTCATATAAAGAATTTGGGAGGGTTCACTCCCTTTCCATTGTTTTGAATAACTGGAAAAAAACTGGAGTTAATTTTTCTTTAAATATCTGGTAGAATGCACCAGTGAAACCATCTGGTCCTGGGCTTTTCTTTGTTGGGAGTGTCTTTATTACTGATTCAATTTCTGTCTTGGTTATGGGTCTGTTTAGGTTTTATATGTCTTCATAGCTCAACTTAGGTAGGTTGTATGTGTCCAGGAATCTTTCCATTTCTTCTAGGTTTCCCAGTTTCTTAGCATAGAGCTTTATGTAGTAATTTCTGATGATTCTTTTTATTTCTGTAGTGTCTGTGTGACATTTCCTTTTTCATCTCTAATTTTATTGATTTGAGTCTTTTGTTTCCTTTTTGTGGTTAGTTGGGCCAATGGTGTGTCAATTTTGTTTATTTTTTTCAGAAAACCAGCGCTTCATTTGCTGATCTTTTGTATTGTTATTTTTTGTTTCAATTCGTTTATTTCTTCTCTAATTTTAATTATTTCTTTTCTCCTACTAGTCTTGGGTTTGTTTGCTGTTGCTTTTCTTGGTCCTTGAGATGTATTGATAGCTCATTTATTTGTTTTCTTTCCATTTTCTTTATGTAGGTACCAATTGCTATAAACTTTCCTCTTAACACTGCTTTTGCTGTATCCCACAAGTTTTGATATGTTGTATTGTCATCTTCAGTTGTTTCTAGAAAGTTTTTGATTTCTCTTTTGGTTTATCCTATGACCCACTGTTTATTCAGGAGAATATTGTTCAGTTTCCAGGTGTTTGGATATGTTCTGGAAATTCCTGAGTTGGTGATTTCCAGCTTCAATCTATTGTGGTCTGAGAAGATACATGATATGCTTTCATTTTTTTTGAATTTGCTGAGACTTGCTTTATGGCCTAGTATGTGGTCAATCCTAGAGAAAGATCCATGTACTGGTGAGAAGAATGTATACTCTGCAACCATAGGATGAAAACTTTTGTAGATATCTGTTAGGTCCATCTGACCTATAGTGTTGATTATCTCTGCTATTCCCGTGCTGATTTTCTGTCTGGTTGATCTGTCTGCTCCTGAAAGTCGGGTATTGAAGTCTCCCATTACTATCGTATTTGAGTCTATGTCTCCCTTTAGATCCCTTAACATGTATTTAAATAGCCAGGAGTGCTGTGATTAGGTTCATATACATTTATAATAGTTACATCTTCCTGTTGAATTGATCCCTTAATCATTACACAGTGCTCTTCTTTATCTCTTTAAACAGTTTTTGTGTTAAAGTCTATTTTGTCTGGTATAGGATGGATACAGAAGCTCTTTTTTGGTTTCTGTCTTCATGGATTATATTTTTCCAACCTTTCACTTTCAGTCTGCGTGTATCTTTGTTGGTGAGATGTGTTTCTTATAGGCAGCAAATAGATGTGTTTTGTTTTTTAATCCATTCAGCCAGTCTGTGTCTTTTAAATGGAGAGTTGAGGCCATTTACATTCTAAGTGACTATCAATAAATAATGAATTTGCCCTGCCATTTTTTCCAAAAGTATTCCTATTGTTTACTTTGAATTTCCTTTGACGTTTCACTGAGAGATTTTCTTCCTTTACCTTCTTTCATAGTGATGACCATGTTTATATGTTTCTGTGTGCAGCACATCCTTAAGCATCTTTTGTAGGGCTGGACAGGTGGTGACAAATTCTTTCAATTTCTGTTTGTTATGGAAGGTCTTTATTTTACTTCCATTCATAAATGAGAGCTTTGCAGGTAAGTGTATTTTGGGCTGACAGTTTTTTTTTTTCTCTTACTACTTGAAATATATCTTGTCATTCTCTCCTAGCCTGTAGGGTTTCTGATGAGAAGTCCTCTGTGAGTCTAATTGATGGTCCTCTGAAAGCAGTCTGGCATTTTTCTTGTGCACATTTTAGAATCTTTTCTTTATGTTTCACTGTTGAGAGTTTGATTACAATGTGTCGTGGTGAAGATCTTTTTTTTTTTTTTTTTTGATAGGCAGAGTGGACAGTGAGAGAGAGAGACAGAGAGAGAAAGGTCTTCCTTTGCCGTTGGTTCACCCTCCAATGGCCGCCGCTGCAGCCGGCGCACCGTGCTGATCCGATGGCAGGAGCCAGGATCCAGGTGCTTTTCCTGGTCTCCCATGGGGTGCAGGGCCCAAGCACCTGGGCCATCCTCCACTGCACTCCCTGGCCATAGCAGAGAGCTGGCCTGGAAAAGGGGCAACCGGGACAGAATCCAGTGCCCCGACCGGGACTAGAACCCGGTGTGCCGGCGCCGCAAGGTGGATGATTAGCCTATTGAGCCACGGCGCCGGCTCCGTGGTGAAGATCTTTTCTGTTCATGTTTAATAAGAGTTCTATGTGCTTCCTGTACTTGGATGTCCCTTTCTTTCTCCAAATTATGGAGGTTATTTCACTAAAAACACCTTCTAATCCTTTCTCTCTTTCCACACCTTCAGGAACTCCTAGAACCCTTATGTTGGGTCACTTGATAGTATCTTGTAGATTCCCAACAGTATTTTTTAGTTTTCTAATTTCTTCTTTTTGTTTTTCTGTTTTACAGTATAATTTCCTTTGACTTGTCTTCTGCATTGGATATTCTTTGTTTTGCTTCACTGATATGTTGTTAAGGGTTTCTGCTGCATTTTTTATTCTATTGAATTCTTCATCTCATTTTTATTTCTCTTTAACATCTCAATTTCATTGGAGAAATTTTGTTTAATGTCTTCAGTAGTTCATGCATTTGCTTCTGATTCCTTCTATGTAATGTTATGATCACTATTTTGAATTCCACTTCATTCCATTTCTTAAATCTCATCATTTTCACAATCTAGTGTTGAAGTGTGTGTTCTTTTGGGGGCATCCTGTTGTCTTCCTTATTCTTGTTTCTTGTGTTGATGCATTTGTTATTTGGCATTTGCATAAATATTCATTGGTTTCTTCTTTGCTTTCTTCTGTTGTGGCTTTTATTTTTATACTATGCCTCTGTAGATAAATGAAGTGTCTGCCTTCAGGGAATATCTAGAGGCATGTGGTTGGTGTGCCAAGGGAGCTCTGTTCAGTTCTCCAGGTTGTAGGGCATGTCTAAGGTGACACACCCAGTTTGACATGGTAAATCTAATTTTTTTTAATCAGAAGGGAAGTTTATTTTGCTCAGCTAAGCTCCTTTCCTCAAAGGAGTCCAGTGCCTGATTAATAGCCTCAGTGGGTATAATATTCATCTGCTCTGCCCCAAGGACCACACAAAGGACCTGTGCCATCCTCAATGTAAGCTCAGATTCCCCAGCAATGTCCCTCACCAGGTAACCAGGAAGCCCTGAGCATGTGGAGTCTCCCATACTGACTGCTCAAAGTCCCAGCCACATGGTGAGTCTTCTTACACATAGCCTCTGTTTTATTCACAGTCCTGGAACACAAGCCTCCCACAGTCACGAGTTCCCAGTCCCCTGTTCTCCCGACCATTGTCAGGAATCTCTGCTCTGCTGGTTGCTGGGTGCAGATATCAGGTGGTGCAGCTGTTAGGTATGTCCAAAATTGTGCCCTCTCAATCATTTGTTTCAGAATGCCATTTTAGGTGATCTGGGAGAGTGAAATGTTTCCCTCTTTTTTTTTTCTCCTATAGTTTGGCAGAGAAACTATCCCGGTGGAGCTCCAAGCCGAGTTTCCTCTAGGCTCTTTCTGAAACTTTTTTGCTAGTGGCTTGGGCTGCAGTCTGGTCTTACCTCACTCTCCAATGCTGATATGGAAGCTCTCAGCTGCTGGAGTCCTGAGCTGTGGGAGTCCACGCCTTCCATGTAGATTTACTGTGTCCCTCTAATTTGGGGATAGTTTCCTCTGCCATTTTCTCCCTAACTCTTCCCTGAGACTGCACTCTCTCCACTCTTTTTTTAACCTGTCTTCTAGACTAGAACACTAAGTTCCTTCTCTACTCTGCCTTCTTGGAAGCTCTCTTCTGTAATCAACATTCAATTGTAATGCTGCTTTGGTTTGCATCTGTCCTGAGGGTCATAATTTAGCTGAAAAGACTATTGTGTGTGATAAAAATTGTTCAAAGAGCTGCTTTCATCATAGTCAAGCAACTTAAAGGGATATAATTTTAATGTTCAAAAAATCTTAAGTAATGAGAATGGAGCTCTGAGACAGTGAGCACTTAGTTTTTCAAATCTGACTTACAAATATGACTACCCTTGCCATATTCTCTGATTCCAGTACGTGAATAGATATGCATATATGTACACAGCTGTTTAAACTTTAAAGATCAAGCACTGATGCATGCAAGAAATCCACAGCAAATAAAAGCTCCTGATTATACATCTATTCCTAAAACTAATTATATATTTGTGCAACTAATATCTACAGACTTTATCGGGAATTAGCAAATATATGTATTTGTTGATCTTGACCTCTTTGATATAAAATTCAAAACTATTTGTGGAAAAGCAAACACATTTTTTATAATAATTACTCCAATCATGTCTGGATTTTTCTTACTTAAACCAATAACAACAATAATAAAAGCAGCATTAGGAACAGTAGCAAAAACTAAACCATAATTTTTGAATTTGAAAGTTTTTTTATGTAACAGAGATTAAAATGAACTATATTTTTTGTTCATGACTTATATGGACTTCTATGTGATAGAATAATATATTGTGCTACTAATGTTTACATCATTCTCACTGGGGTGGGTATTTTTTTTTCCTTCTCCATTTAGAAAAATGTAGCCAAGATTTTGTTTCTCTGCCATGGCATGGGTGGGACTAGAGCACTGTCAAAGTTCTGAGTCATTGAGAGCAGTAGTTTCCAGAAACTCAGATGGTAATCCCCTACCCAGTTGTTTTGATTTTTAAAAACATAATCTTCTGTGGGAATTCTTCAAGAGAAGTTCCAAAATGTGGAATAAGGGGAACAAAGCATCCTGGGGAGAAGACCATTTGGGGACAGATTTTCTAAGGTGTCCTGGAGTAGACAAAAATGGAACTCACTTTCTCAGAGGGCTCCTGATGGGGAATTACTAAGGAGTGGCTGTAGAGCCGAGGCTGTATATATCATTGATATCAACACAATGGTGAGTCTCCTGTGAGTGAATCTTGGGTCAGTAAGGCAGATTATCTTAAGTAGCACTCTGAATTCCATGCAAACAGAATGCTTAAATGGACTTGGAACATCTGCTTGATAGCAGGATTGTATTGCCTAAAAGACAGCATGAAAGATAACTGGTATAAACTAAGGGTTTGCATCACTCCTCAGTCCTAAAGGCAGTACTTAAGGCTAGGATTTTTTTTAAATCCTGGAGAGAGTTGAGGGAAATGTCCCCAAAATGACAAATATGAAAGTTGGTGCATATTTTGAGTAGACTGCACAAATTAGAAATGTAGTGAAGTAAGATGGTACTTAAATGCAAATACTGTGGAATATAATTCATATCTATAACAAATACATCTAAACAGACTGTGGTTGTCAGTGAGTGGTGGTATCTTTCTCACTAGTCTTCTAATTTCCCCAATTTACTGTAGCTCACGTTTTGTTACTGTAAAACACTATCATTACCTGCAACTTTCCTACTGAAGAATAAGTACCACTGGTCCCTTTGAAGTACTATGATGATATTTCCAGTTGTTTTTATTTTATGAACACTTGGGTGATAAAATCAAATAAATTAAAGTCATTGCAACAGATTGGTGGGCTATGAGTACTGAAGTCTTATATCTTAAATATTTATTGTAATTTATTTTATGTAATGAATAGAATGACTGAAATCAGAGACTCGGAAGCAAACAATGGTATAATTTATATCCTATATTGTTGTCTAAAGGTGCAGTCATTCTGAAATTCCCAGAGAGCCTAATGTGACTTTAATACTCTGTTCTTTTCCTCTGCAACTTATAGGATTGGTTACTATATATTGTAAAATTTGTGCTGGTCACCTGGAAAACCTATTTGAACTTAGTGGAAAATTACCCATTGCATGACATGGACATAGGAATATCTACGGGAAAAGATTCCACAGCTAATCTAGACAATTTTATTTGTTGCCTCTTGCCTGCTGCACAATAAAATCAAAGCTACAAGCTTTGAGCAGCTGCATTTCTATTACTAGACCATATAAATAGTAAACTGTGCATTTTATATAAATATGTACCTCCAAATCAGGAAAAAATATGTTAGGAGCAGGGGTGCATTCCTCTTGCTTTTTGCCCATATTCTATCATCAAAGACATTAATTTAATAACAACAAAACAACAAAAATAATGTGCAATCCAGCTTCTGGTAGGGGACTAGTAAAAAAACAGAATCAAGTAATGGAGGAGTGTAAATTCCTACTCAGGAGTCAATATTTAGTATTTTTGGGTGCTGGACTGCCATCATACTTTGTAAGGATGGAGAATAATAATATGGAAGTGATATTTTAGTCTGGCAGTAGAGTGCAGAATAGATTGGAACATGAGAGCGATGAGAAGACAGGGAGACTACTTGGAAAGTGCTACTGAAATTCATTCTTGAAAACTATGACTTGTCTGGTAATATATACCATGCAATATGGATTTGAAATAGGTGCCACTGATATGCTATTCAGCTATTTGCCCCCTCAATTTCAAGTTTTAAATATTTTTTCTCTAGTACAATTACTTGAATGCATGACTTCCCAAGTGTCAAAATACTGTAACTGTTGAGAAATAAAGGAAAACATACTATAATAACATAATTACTCCTTTTTATACAGCATTAATAATAGAACATAGAATAATTCCATTGTAGTCTAATGTAAATTTTAAAAAACATGAATTTATTTAAAAGAATAAATTAATTTCATGCTGGAGGTAGACTAAATTGATTTCAGGTAATAAGAAATAGATTTGATAGAATGTTATCAGATTGTAGAAGTGAGATTATGAATGTTCAATTTGGGTTATTGTCTGAGCCCAACGTTCTTGGAACCTGAAATGAGGCCAGATTTATAAATCCAATATGTTACTAATGTAGTAGGTAGTCATTTAGAATAACAAGAGTCACTAGAATAAGTCACATGACCTCCAAAGGTGTCAATTTTGCCATTTAGAAAAAAATGAGTAATCAGTTATATCTCAAATGACAGAGCTAATGATTCTTGCTTAGCTTCTTGAATACATTTATTTGGGTCAGTTTCATCTCCAATGTATATATGGAAGGGGTCAAACAAATATCTCCTAAATGAATAAAAAATTACACTCTGCATATGTAGACTGGTGATCAGTGCCTAGAGGATACACAGGATAGCTCCTGAAAGTTTATTGGCTTTTGACCTGTTACAGTTATCATCTGTAGGATTGTTTCAGAAACCCTATTGATAGTTACGTGTTTGAATGTGGGGTCTGGGTGGTTTTTGAATTCACAACCATAGAACTCCAGGAACTTTCAGTACTGCTTGTGTAATGAGGGCTTGTCTTACTGAATTTGGGCTACTGTAATAAATTGCCTTAAACTGGGGGACTTAAACAACACAAAGTTTTTTTTTCTCTCTAGTTATGGAGGCTAGGGAGCCCAAGATCAAGGCAATGGAAGATTTTGTATCTGGTGAAAAAGTCCAGTTCTTGATTAACAGATAGTTGTCTTACCTCTGTGTTCTTTTATTTTTTTTTAAGATTTATTTATTTATTTGAATGGCAGAGTTACAGAGGGGAGAGAGAGAGAGAGAGGTCTACCACCCACTGGTTCACTCCCCAAATGTTCACAAAGGCCACAGTTGGGCTGATCCAAAGCCAGAAATTTTTTCTGGGTCTCCCACGTGTGTGCAGGGGCCCAGGGACCTGGCCCATCTTCTACTGCTGTCCCAGGCTATAGCAGAAAGCTGGATCAGAACTGGAGCTGCCGGGACTAGAACTGGCACCCATGTGGGAGGCTGCCACTGCAGGTGGTGACTTTACCCACTATGTCATAGCGCCAGCCCCACTACTGTATTCTTATATGATGGAAGTGGGTGGGAGAACGCCCTGGGGTCTCTTTTATAAGATCATTAATCCTATGTATGAGGGCTCCATTCTCCTCAAGTAATCATCCTCTTAAAGGTCCCACCTCCTAATGTCACAGTTAAGTTACGATTTCAAGATCTGACTTCTAGAGGAATGAAAATATTCATTCAATAGCAGGAAAGGAGTGATTAGTGTCTTTAAGAAATCCCTTGGAGCATAGGCATGTTCTGGGGCATCCTAGGTTTCCTAGAAAATCCAAATGAGGGTATACTACATTGAAGATGTGTGCTAGGCAAAGGTAAGAATTCATGCTGAAGCACAAATGTTTCAGGAATTTATATTGGTAATGATGAGGATGATGATGGAATGTCATAGTGTAAGGAAAAGTAGGAAGAAAAAGAAGAGGATGACCATGATGAAGAGAAGCAGCAGCAGCTAACATTTATAGAATTCCTACCACATGCAAATACTATGTTGTATGTTTTATATTTGTTATTTATTTATTTATTTGACAGAGTTATAGACAGTAAGAGAGAGAGACAGAAAGGTCTTCCTTCCGTTGGTTCATTCCCC